AGAAAAGATGGAATTAGTAGGCATAAGTGCCAATCCAAGAGACGAACTACCCCCAATATCCAATGTACTACCGAATACTAAAACTAAATTAAATGAGACCCTTCCATATCTTTACGCTGGGGTGTGCGATAGACTTACCTCCACGTGGTGTACCCTTCGCGACGTATACTCATATGGCAAAAAAGTCTATTAACTGAGAGTTGACTTCTGGCTTCAAAATACCATCACCCCACTGAATGTCATATTCTACCCCTTCCACAGTACTCATCTTACCTTTTTTATGCCTTTGTGTCTGTCTGTCTCTTTTACCTCTGAATCATTATTCTGTCTCCCATCCCGACTTTTTGTCACCTTGATGTCCCTTCTCCTCTCTGTGAATAGCAAAGTCAGCTAAATGGCTAATGATAACTTTCAAAATGCCTGCAATTGGAATTAAAAATATCTTTACGCTTTCATTGGCACTTCTTACTCTTTCCCCATTCTGCTAGTCGAGTTCAGTCGCCTACCATATTTAAAACTGCATATTCGTAGTACTAAGAGCAATAATTACAAATCTTATCTAAGATACGATTTAGGAAACAAGTACACTGCCTACGACGCAGAGGGATAGAGACAGAATCATCCCCTTCCGTATTGAAACTAAGAATGTGTTTGTCCTTAAAAGTTTCCTCTTCTGAAACACCGATAGCAGGCACTTTAGAAGCTTAGAGACCCAATCTACACACTCTTCATTAAGGACTGTCAAATCCTTTAGATATAAACGAGTTGCTAGGTATTGCACAATCGAGAAGTTAGCTATTTATGAGGTTCACATTCGGTTCAGATCAACTTTAAAGAATTTAGTTAAAGGGAAACCTATTTTATAGTTTTTACAAGGAAACTTCAACACACCGGAATTCTCTAATAATTTTGACTAATACACCACAAGCAACTAGAGCGCTAATCATGTGCATATAGACAATGTAAATTATTACAAATTGATAACATCTCGAAGAGGTATTGCTTTGGTTGTTGCCGTGACAACACCATCCGCATCAGCAAGTTTCTGAGCCAATTGCTTCAAAAAAGTGTCCCTTCTATTATTGAACTCTTGTGTTGAGAGCCAATCACAATAGATCATCTAAAATTGAGACAGGAAACTGGTAGTAAAGCACAATTCAGCAGTTTCATAAAGAAAATCAATAGTTTAAAACTACCGGAACAACTGGAATAGCTGTTTTATCCAGATAAGACGCAAGAAGCGAACCAAATGGTTGGGGAACAAGGTCATCTCGTTTCCATAACAAAAAGCATAGAGCGTATTTAGTAGTCACTATTAAATACAAGTTAAAAACGGTATAACAACCAACATTAAGCGCTGGAAACAGTGAAATAAACTAAGAAAAAATACTTACTGGGATCTACCGATGAAACCTTCCGAAAAACAAGGTCTTCAAATAAATTGAAATAAGTCAGCAAATTGACAGTATTAATAACTACTTAAACAAAAACGGTAGATATTACCGGCAAACAGTTGGTCACCCGATTCAGTTTGCACTATATGGAAGGGAAGAACTTCAAATCCAGGAATACCAATAACTCGCTGATGTAAATGAGACATAAAATCCTCAACTATAGGCTTCTTCAAATGCACATAAGCCTTTAGTAATTCCTGCTGGCGTGATGTAAGATTGGAAAAAGAGTTTGATTTCACAACACTGGCAAACTCATAGTAGAATTGCCAATCCAGGCGGGGTAAATAAGACACAAGTTCAATAGACTTAGGTGAAGAGAAATTACTAGGTGCCTCGAAAGCTTCCAGCTCCCTGGGGGCAAGGAGATTGCTAGGTTGACTTATCAGCAAATCGGCGTAAGCTTTCACGACTGGCTTTTGTAATTGAAGCAGCTTTTCGTGACGAACACCGAGCAATAAGAGAGAAAGAGCAACCCGCTTAGCCGAATCAGAATCACAGCTCCCGGACTTCAATCTCTCAGTAACATAGTCGCCAACGTCAAAGAGTAGCTGGCGAGACCAATCAGCCGTAAAAAGAGGGTGAATATCAAGACCCTGAGAGGAGTTATTCGGGACGGGTAGGGCTGACTCCGAATTTTCAAAATTCAACTCGAAGGGAAGGACACAGAATTCATCAGCAGAGAAGATGGATTTTTGATTATGTACATTTGATGTCCCCATTGCGAGATTAGTCATCGCAGCCAAAGCTCCAGCAACCCAGCCGCTCTGTTCGGTAGTAGGATAGTTACTTGTTAGGTGTAGCTTTCGTCGAATTTGACCCATAAATCGTCGAATTAGACCTGGTCGAAAGGTCTGCATCTTTTGCATGGCAGAACAAAGCAAACACATTGTAAAAAGATTTTGTTCCTTGAGTCTAGTCGATAATACTGTCTCTATTGTTGCAGTAAAGCGGAGTCTGTCTGTTTTACTGGGAGATAAATCTTCACCAAAGTCGTGAGCTAGACGGAGAAATGGCAAAAGCCCCAGACTTTCCATTTCAGCAAGACGAGATAAGAGGTGTTTATTGAGAGCATCTCGCAAAAGATCAGCTTCAATGGCCAAAGAGAAATCGCTTTCTCCAGATTTCCGCGGAAGGCTGCGTAAAAGAGAGGCAATATAAACAAGTTCTGAAGGACTACATTCATTAATTTGATGAGTTATTAAGCGCAAAACAGAAGCCAAAGACTTGGAATTGACCTTCGAATCCTCCGGAATTTGTCTGAGACAAGCAGCAAGAACAAGAAGGCGGGGTCGTGAAAGAGTTCTTGCTCCAGCAACAGTGCTGAGAAGTAGGAGATGGAATCTTGGGTCTGACAACCAAGAACTGTTTAATGGGAAAACAAAAAATGGCGGAAGAAAAGCTAGGACAGCAGTAGAAAACGGATCGATTCCGAGGCTATTAGCCACAGCAATGGTATACCGATCGATTGGCGATAAACTCGAGGCAGAGAACAAAGCTGTCTGTAAGACAGCTTCCAAACAAGTTAAGCGTAACTCAGGTGGGAAATCCCGGATGTCGATAGACAACAACTGGTCTACACTCCGACGTTCCTAAATCACGAAATAATAAACGAGATGAAAATACTTACGCTAGTGATGTAGTTCAATAGCTCCTCTGGAGGAACAACAACTGAACTGGGGGCAGAAGCAATTGAAGCTATGTCCCTCCTTTTGCCTCTAAAACATGTAGTTGACGAAGTGGATAGGTTATGATGAAGTGTGAAGTTGTAAGAAAAACGTAATGCGACCCTTGGAAGAGGGGATTTGATAAACAAAGTCCGGAAAAGTCTCAGTGACATTGAAATTAATCTCTTATTCCTATAAAAAAAACAATAAATTAATTACCAGATTGGGAAACTCTGAAAACGGCACTAAAAAAACGTTTTAAAGAACATGCATTTAAATGCTGCAACATAAAAAGTATCAATAACAATTCAATGCAATTTGTAAGGCCAAAATTTTACACGCTTATCAGGAGTCCAACCAAATGGCTCTGCACCAACTTGATAGCATTACTTTTCTAACAATTAGTAATGACTATCCAAAATTTAGTGTCTTATTTCCAATACTTATAGAAATTATCTAATTTAAATGAGCATATTGAGCAATATTTCTAATGGTATATTTATACAAGCGACAGTTAAAGATGCGTTTCAAGGTCGGTATTTTCGACTTATCTTGTTGTTTGCGGCCTTAGCGTGCTCATTCTTGTGAGTTTTAAATTGTCGTTTGTTTTTCCTCACAAGAATTGGTATTGTTGCTTTTTATGCATTAAAACCTTACTCATCATGGTTAACCTGCTAACGATGAATTGATATTCTGTTTATTGCCACTGTACTATGTAAATTCACCTTAACTCCCTTTAAATTTAGGGGAATTGTGTACTTTTTTCCAAAATCTCTTCCCTAAATCTTCTTCGAGTTTCCAATTTTTTGAAATCAGCAATGAATTCCCAACAACTAATCGACTCCGTTTCTAACAAACTCAAGCTTCTCGCTAATGCAGATCAGTCAGCAATTAAGCACGCTGAAAATGAGTATGTTAAGAAAAATGCTCAGCTTAAAGAGGAAATTTCTGCTCTTAAGGCGAAGCTAGTCAATTTAGAACTTATTGGAGGACGTAAGTTGGATATTATCCCATATCATGATCTATTATTTAGGTATCCAATACTTTGTTCCATCTGTAACTGAATCTTCGGTCCATACAAATGAAGAACTCGCTCCTGAAACACCAAATCCCGGTGAGCTTATTTTCCTTAAAGATTTTGAATTGGCTTAGTACCAAGGTTCTTATCCTATTGGCACTCATCTTTATACGTTCTGTGCTCGTATATGGCTAAAATATAACAGTTACTGAGCCCAATAAGTTAAAACACAAAGAGACTGGGGTTTTGGGTTGTAATGCAATTAGTCTATGGAATTGTGTTCATTCGTGAGAATATGTCGGCAATATTTGATGCTTGTTGACATGTTAATCTGATCATGTTGGTAGTTAAGATTCGTTGCGAGTTTTTTTAACAGTTTAATAGGAGATACTCATGGATTAATTGATGTAAGTCTATTTTAACCCATTTTTTAAATTGATTGGTGCAACGAGTATGACATTATATTTTATTCATTCGTCTAGAGCTTTTCATGTCAGTAGAATTTGCTTTCCTTGCTTTATTTCATTTGCTTTCGATGAATAGGTTTATATGTCACTAATTGTGTTTCAATTACGTACTTCTACCTTTTGGAAGGGGGGATGCACTTTTGTTTACGACGGTTTTGTATTTTATGCCGGGCAAATAAAATGGTTTATATCAAGTTGAAAACGTAAGAAATTATTACTTTATCCAGGTAGCCAATAATTATTTCCATGCGCGGGCTTGAAAATCGAATAATTGTTAATTCAATGCACAGGAGCTAAACCTTGTGAAAATTTTCAATTTCACCAAGAATAATCGATTTGATTTCTGGCCAATCGATGAAAATACTTCGTCAATAAAACATATTGCAGTGGTGTTTGGGCATATACTCTCGTGCTTGATAAGGTTAGCTCATAATCTCAATTATTTGGATGAGCTTCTCAAAACTCCTTAGCGAAGTTAGGATAAACAAAGTCTCCTTTATTTTAAACTGTTATTGATTAACCGCTATATTCTGAAGGATAATTTCACTTGCAGTATCACATTCTCTCTGACTTTCTACTTTCAGTTGTTCATGCAAAGCCAACTGTTTCAGCTCCCACAGCAGCCGAAAAGCAGCCCAAACCCGCTCCACCCCAGAAAAGCGGTGGTGGTGGAGGAGGTGGCAGAAAAGGCGGTGCAGCACCGGCCGGTGATCTTCCCGTGGATGTCAGCCGCCTTGACTTGCGTGTCGGAAAAATCGTCGAGGTTGAACGCCATCCCGATGCTGATTCCCTTTACATTGAAAAGGTTCGTGTGTTTTCGCTTTCACAAACAAAATTTCTTGTGATCAAGACATGCGGGGCACTTTATTTGTTTGTATTGCATTACCATATCTTTCTACTAATTGGCTTGTACAGCTACTAACTAGGAACTCGAAGGGGCTATAAATTTGTTCAGGTTTGCTTAGCCATCCATTATATAATACGCGCGTTAGTTGGGCATGTCTAGTTTTGCCAGTAACGAAGATAGGATTGCGTAGTGAAATTAGCTTGATATAGTGTTAATGCATAGTCCACAATGCCTTAGCATAAATAGATCACAAAAGGGCCAAGAAGAACCTGTTATTACAGTTTAGGCATTAATAATCCTATTTTTTAAAAATATGTAGGCAACGAGGTATCCACTTCCATAGGGGCTGTAGTTTGCTTTGTAATGTCCCTAGCAAATCTTCGAACATTGAAATGTGGAATTGGATGTCTTAGGTAATTTCAAACTGATCTATGATTCATTTCTGAATACAGAGTGGGAATGTTCAGGTAATTGTTTCTATTTTGCGTTTGTTCAAAAACACGTCTTCGTTGCAGCATACTTTCGCTCCCATTTGATTTTCATGATCGAAGGTACATTCTTTTTGGGTAGGTAACACTTGGTAGCTTCTCGTTTATATTTGTGGAACTATTATTGGCAAATTCTTCTTAATTTTGCGTTTATTTAGAAGTAAGCCTTAGTCATTAGATAATGCCATCTTAAATTAATACATTTTTCCTTCTAGAGTTGTACTTTTCTGCTTCCATTGAAACTTATTCAATAATAAATCAATTTTAAAATTCACAAGTGCTTTTTGGAACGGATGAACGTTTTGCCTAACGTCATTCTTGCTATGATGTTTAACATCTGCAGGTTTTTCGCTCTAATTCGCGAATGTGTCTATTATTTTGTTATATTGTTGATTTCTAAGGCTCTTATGCCTTATGCTTCGATTTCCTTCATGCGTAATTTAGGTAACTCAAGATATGCCCATTCCACTATGTATTGACCACAAGTTGAACTGCAATTTTAGCTCGCTTCTCCTACATTGTCATAAAGGTCATTTCAATCACTAAACTAGCATGATTCCCCTGAAATCTGATCGACTTCTTTTTAATTAGATTATTTAATTTCCAATTAATGAACGCCTTTTATTCGTAAGGTTCTCTCTTAGTTGTCGAATTATATGTTTAGTCAAAGATACGATTTGAGAAGGAAATAGAGGGCTTTTAGCATTGTGTTTACCAAAAGTGAAGCTGTGGAGCTCCAATTGTGATAGATGTCTCTGTTTTTTTAAATACTCACTCTTCGAGATTTTTAGACCTTTCTGATCGTTTGAAATTTGTCTCTCAAGGAAGTGGATGAAAATGGTTGTGGGTGTCGATTTCCAAGTGCAACAAAATTGACTTTGCAATTCACAAACTAATTCAATTACAAGTTTTAAAATTTAAATGGTTTACCTGCTCATCTTTATCATTTTAGCCTATAGTCAGTGTCTGGTATTTCGCTGGTTATAATTACTCGATTAAAATGACATAACTTACAGAAGCAGTCCACTATTATTTACATTTAGCAGTACTCGATTAATTGAAAAGTACTCTTTTCTAGTAATGCATACTGTTTTTTCCCACCACATCTGTGCATGAATCATTATCTTGTGCCGTAATGCGTAGTATGAACTTGACCTTAAATTTTCAGGTTGACCTAGGAGAGGGTCATCTGCGAACCATTATCAGTGGTCTGGTGAACTTTGTGCCCATCGAGAAAATGCAGGGTCTAGTGGGTATCTTTATGTGCAATCTCAAACCCGTGAAGATGCGTGGAATCGAATCTCAAGGGATGCTTATGTGTGCTTCCAATGACGAACATACTGTGGTGGAACCCCTGGTAATTGAGGGACCAAATCCACCCGAACTTGGGGATCGCGTCTTTGTTGAGTCTTATCCTGGTATGTAAAGGGTTCGAATTTTTTTGCAAACGTAGAATTTTTAAATTAATTCGAATTTGAAAAAAAAAACAAGAATAAGTACTAAAATATCCGTTATATGTCCACATATTAAAGAAGATAGCACACATTGATTGTTCGAGCTAGCAAATGCTGATCTCAAGCAAGGACAAAAATTTAGTAGAAAGGATATGATCTCTTGATTCATGAGATTCGGATTGATTATTCTTGCTGTTTTTTTCAAAAATGTCTTGAAGTTTCTTGTAGTGGTCATCATTAAGGATGGCAATCTAATTACTCGATTACTTTTTTATAAGATGGTTTTGTTTACTGAAAGTCCTATTTGTGCAAAAATGATCCGATGATAATGCTAGAATATTACGTATTTGTGGGAATATATGCCTACATTTACCAGTTTTCCACTCAAAATAGAGACCAACAATCAAAATATGACATCTGGGATACGTTAGGTTCTCTTACTATCATTGAATTTAATTGATAGAAACGGATGGGCAGAGGATACATTTGGTTTCAGGTTCTTCCCAGTGGAGATGGTTGAGTTGTTGTATTGTCTTGGGGTGTGTGAAAGCTTTACTGAATACTGTTTTATGACTCTGTTTCAAAGACGGTTTTCAATGGGTTAGGGTTAGAGAAATCACTTTCTCTATTGTCACAAAACTATCACACGAAGTAGCCATTTTTTTTCATTTTAACCCTCTTTTGTGAGAATATCACTTGGCATACCTTTATATTTATTAATCAAATGAATCAGCTTTGCCATATTTTCGAAGGACGTATAGGAAGAAATTGCTATTGATGCTGGTTGTAAGTCCAATTGTTGCCACTTTTGCTGTATCAAGCGTCCTTAGAAATAGGAGCTTTTCTGTATCGAAATTAGACAAAACGAATAATCGAAGAACTAAATGCACAAATAAGAGGGAGAATTGGAATATGCAGACATCCTAATTTAGAATTTGGTCATCATGAAGTCTTTGGTAAGATGCACGCGTTCTACTGCCATTTCTTAACCAGTTTTCGACTATATCGTTCCCCATTTTTGACGAGAAGCATTGATTTCGTGACGTGGTAAATATGTGGGACACTGTTTCAGAAGGTACATGATAGTTTGTACAAGTCTCGTTATTGTCGATCTTAACTACATAGCCACTTTCTCTGTCATAATTTGCTAATTTTAGGTGAACCGGATGGTCAACTGAATCCCAAGAAGAAGGTCTGGGAAACAGTGAAGCCAGATATGCGAGTAGACGCATCTAACTTCGCCACTTACAAAGGAGCTCAATGGAAGCTCAGGAACAACCCCGGCGCTGTAATCAAAAGCCCGTCAGTTGTTAACGCCCAAATCTCCTAAGTTTTTCGCTCTTTCTCATTCTCGTCACCTGTTTGAGCCTTTGTTATTCGTAAATAAATCGCTTTTGTGTGGGAATATTGGCGTGGCTTGATGTTTGAATTTTGGGAAACAGCAGAGTCGCTTGAAGGTCGTAGAAGTAATAATAATGCTCAACTCGGACGAAGGGAAGCCATCCCGTAGGTGAGAAACTTAGATTCATATAATTATTCGCGCCAGGGTACATGCATTGATCTAGAGGCTAGAATTCAAATGAAGTTGAATTCATTTGACTAATTCTTGCGACTCCATACAATCCGAAATTTGTTATACTAGCGGGAGCTGTTCATCTTTTACGCTTCTAAAATGAGGTTCTTCTTCAAAATTCCCTTAAAGGTGATTGGATACATTCCTTCATGTTAGATAAAAGATGCTATGAGGCAACCAAAAGCGCAGTGATTAAGGTACAGTTGTAACTCCTAGGATATTGGTTTTGCTTTTGAAGTTAGTCATAGACAGAATTCGGATTCACAATCTCTCCGTGACGGCCGCACAAATCAAGAAAGCGGAAGTGAATTTAAAGTTACTATGATTAGGTGGGATTACATTGCCTAGCACCAAGTTTAAAGTAACTTCCCTGATAAAATATTTGAATTTTGTCACCATAATCTCTTAATTAGTCACGGTCTGTTTCACACCTGACTGAAGTTGGGTTTAAAAGCGGTTTTGAAACAAAAAAATGAGCGAGCACAAAGTCTTACTTCATCTAAAATTATCAAGTTTACCCCTTATTCCATTGTGTCGTGATCTAAGTTCAAGGTTTCTAAATTAAGTTTCCAAGAGCACTTTTTCCAGAACTAATGCTTGGAGAGGGGGGTGTGCGATAGACTTACATTCACGTGGTGCACTCTGGGCAACGTACACACATGGCAAAAGTCTATAAACCGGCAGTTGACTTCTGACTTCAAACTACCCTCACCCCACTGCATGTCATATTCGACTACTTCCATAGTACTCACCTCACTTTAACGGTACAAGTCTATTAACTGGCAGTTGACTTCTCACTTCAAACTAACAAGTCTATCAACCGGCAGTTGACTTCTGACTTCAAACTACAATGAGCCGACTATTGCCCCATCCACAGAACTCATCTTACCTTTTTTATGCATTTATGTCTTTCTGTCTCACTTCAAACTACTATGGCCCGACTATTTGTCATATTCGACCCCGTTCACAGTACTCATCTTACCCTTTTTATGCCTTTGTGTCTGTCTGTCTGTCTCTTTTAAAGTACTCACCCCACTGCATGTCATATTCGACTACTTCCATAGTACTCACCTCACTTCTTTTTCTACCCTCGTCTTTGAAACATTCTTCTGTTCCCCCCCCCCTGTCGACTTTTTTTCACTTTGATGTTCCTNGTTAGAAGAAATCAAGAACATACCGAAGGTGACTGCGAAGTGGTTGGGACAAGCGTTCGACGACGCCTTCGTGGGGTTCTTTCGATTACCTCCGAATCCCTTGAAGTATTTGCAAGCTCACTTGAGTTTTCACTATCAGATTCGTCGATACTCTTGGATTCGGAAGAATGTTCGCGGCTCTGTTCTAACGGCCTTTTCCTAGAGGTTGTTTGCCCCTAAATGGAAACAGGACAAATGATATTGGGTTAACTTAGAAGAAGAAGAAAAAAGTAGATTCAAAGACAAAAATAGAAAACTATTGACCAGGTTTGCTATCATATATTTGTTGCGTTTATTTTTAACCATTTTTTAACCTGTCGTAAATTCACTTCCCCTCACATATTTTTCGGTAGGGGGTGTGCGATAGACTTACCTCCGCGTGGTGCACCCTGGGCAACGTATACTCATACGGCAAAAAAGTCTATAAATTGGTAGTTGACTTCTGACTTCAAAATACCATGGCACGACTGCTTGTCATATTCGACCGCTTCCACGGTACTCATCTTACCCTTTTCTCTGCCTCTGTGTCTGTCTGCCTCTTTTACATCTGTGAATCCCTCTTCTGTTCCCCACCCCTCGACTTTCTGCTACTTTGATGAACCTTCCCTCTGTGAAGCCCGAAGTCAATTAAAGGGCTAATGATAGCTATCAAAACGCCTGCCATTTGAAATAAAAAAAAATAATAAATATTTTTCGGTAGTGGATAAGCACACCCTTCGTTTTCTACTTAAGCTAGCTCTCTTTCTCTCTCAAACACATCTTCTCTCGTCTCCTTTCTGAGATAATAGAAACAACCGAGGCCCGCGTTTACTTACCGGGAGCCGCTAAAAAGAAATTACCATTACTCTGAGAGGTATCACTCATTACTGTTGTGGTGGAACCTTGTCTTAAAGAGGGACACAGGCTGCATTAAATAGACCAACCAACCAACAAGAAATATTCAATAAGTCTGCCGTTTTCAAGCTATAGATAAACTGCGGCTACTAATGTAAAAGCAAGTACTGTGTAGCACAACGAAAAACTAATCTTATAAAAATTCAATAGACAAGGACCTACACTTAAAATTCTATTAAACCCAAGATTACTTGGGATAATCGGGGCACAAATGATAGTCTCAAATTGAGAAAGGAAAAGTGGCTGGAAGCAACAAAATTGAAGAGATTTAAAGCAGCCCATTAAACAGAGAGTCACATTATATAAAAAAATTGCTCAAAAAACACGATTAGCTTCCGTTGCAGTCTCAATCCGGCCACTAAAACTGGAGCAGGCTGATTCTAAGCATCCAAGGGGGGAGGGGTCACAAGAATTGCCTCCAATCTACTCATTAAATAGTTGGATTTTGCAGCAACGCCCAGAGCATTCATACCAGTCCACTGACTTAAGATCTGGGCACCTTGAATGCCAAACAGTGAAACTGATGTAGTCGCAAAAATTGACCCAAAACCATTTTGGACTTTTCTGAGAAGTGTGCCAAGGGGCTGAATCCTCACTCACCATACAATGTAGCCTATTATTGGCTGTACTCGTTCATTATCCAGGACATAACTACTACAGTGGTCAGCAATTCCATGTGGACATCTGAATTCTGTCTAAGGCCCCTTTAAAAAGATGGAGGAAGACATCACCTGTCACCCTCCGAGAAGGATACATACGAAAAGGCCACATCAGTTCGAGGGAATTTAGTCTCCCTGATTTCAGAGGCGCACTTTGAATAATCTATTATTCTATTTGTAGTGTTTTGATTTCTCAACAGCCTTCCTCTTCGAAAAAGAACCAGACTGCGCTCCAACGGGATGTCTCATTTTCCACAGGAATTTCCTCGCCTTTGACAGACGATGATTGTGGAAGCTTATGGAAATTTGAAGTAGCGAAGATCCCTGTTGAGTGCAAAGTTCATGGTAGAGGTTGAAATCATCAATTAACTGTGGTGACAAAGCTCGATTTCCAATGTCAAGTTGTTCCAGCACTTTTCCCTACCCCAATTCAGCCGTGCACACCTCTTTGAGAAGGTATTGCAAAGGAGATTACTCCAGATAAGCTATGAAACTCATCAAATCCAGCCTTTTATCTCATATCGTCAAGACAACCAACGGCTTAGCAATCTGTTTATAGAAAGAAAAATTGAAGGATAACACTTTAAGAGCACGTAACATACCTCAGCATTTACAATATCCTGCAACAGCGTGTTAGAAGACCCATGACCGATTTCTGTAGTTCTTCTGAGATGAGAACGATTTGAAACCCGCCGAGAATGACGGTTTTGTTGTTGTGACCCGCTTGCGGATTGACTAGAACCACCGGAAGGAGTGTTTTCGCTATCTGATTCATTCGAGGCAATTGCTAGTAAAAGAAAACAAATTGAAAGATAGTGTCCTTTTTAATTTTAATCGAATTGGTTCCTACCTGAGCTTATCTTGCTCATAAATATAGGAATGAAAGGGACTGAATCTTCAGAAACCAAAAGAGGAAGTTAAACTAACAGTTTAGTTAGCCTACGTACATGCAGTTGTTGAGATGCCCGATTGGCGTTTCCTACTGCCAACTGGAGCATTTACGGTATTGAGATGCCAACCCAAGTCGCCAATCACTGACCACCATATGAAGTTGACACAACTACTATTGCCCGCTGGTTTCCAGATACTTCCATGATTATTAATTTGTGCTCAACTCCAAGGTGTGTATAAACGTCGTCTTTGAGAAAAAAGTTAGTTTAGTCGTTTAACAGTCCTGCTCGAAACTCTATTGACTTTATATATCATACTTTAATCAAATTCTTTACATTCGACTCAAACCAACACTTTCTGTCACTTCATTTCTCCGTTAGAATAAGTGAAGTTCGGTACATATTGTTTAGGTTTCACATCTTTAAGGCCTTTCGTTCAACTAGAAAAGTCAAGAGAGCAATGAATGCTGACTACGATCGATCGATCGATCAGTCAGCACGATGTGATCATAGCAGTGAAATGCATTATTCACTCTACTGACTTAAAAAGGACTTAAAGGAAACTTACACACATCGGTGGATTCACAGAGCATGGAAAGAGATACGGGGGTGTTGACAGAATGCCCGAAGGGAAAACGCTGAACAACTCGTGAACCCGAGACAAGAGGGGCTCGATGCATTGGTAGAACCTCTGTACTTGGTCCTTCCCTTGAGGTAAGGAGTAAAAAAAATAAGTTTACTGCCTGTCATTATAAATGCCTAAATTTATTTATTGCTAACCCGGTAGTCAATATTGGAGATCTAGCAGATCTGAGAGTTCTATCGACATCTTCAGCATTCGGTTGCTGTTCAGTGATATCCCGAAGAAATTCTCTAATATTCATTTGGCGCCTACGACGAGCCAGTTCAGATGTTGCATCAAGAGGAGAATTATCCACTTTTCTTGGTGACAAGACGGGGTAAGAAGGACTACATACAGGTGGGTCTTTCTTTGGAGTTGGGGGCACCAAGAGAATCCTTTGATGCTCTTCAGTAGTTGTTGGCTGAGTTCGATATTCAGTGAAACCTAAAGAACAATTAGGTGAAATTCGATAATACCCACTCAATAATAATATAATTTCATTGTGAACAAATAAAAGCTCCTATATGTAAAACTAGGTCAAAGGATACTTAAAGAATTTTGACTTAAGATCACCAGATGTCTAGGTGATTAAGACAAGGATTTTCGATAAAACAACTTTCGTCACTGACAAAATGGTCATTTAGAATAACAAGAAGAGGTTAAAAGGTCAGAATTAGCGTAAATAGGAATTGGGATAGGAGTCCAAAGTTCGGTAAGTAGGACTTATCCAAGTTTGCTAACCGGCATAACATTTATTTATTTATTTATTTCAAATGGCAGGCTTTAT